TAAAGTCTACTCCGTTTCCTGTTTTTCTTTCTTCTTTATTATCCATATGAACACACATGGACTCCTCTTCATGTTTTCTATATATGTATATATATATATGTATATATATATGTATATATATATATGTATATATGTATATATATATATATATCTATATGTATATTTATATGTATATATATATATATGTATATGTATATATATATATATCTTTCTGGTGTAAATTGAGCAGTACAGGATTTCCATGTGGTAGTTTTCACGGGAATACATCGATTTTTATCTCTCATATCATAAACTACACTAACCACTCTAACACATGCATTTCTATTATTATTTATGCGTCGTGGGTACATAGTTGTGCTTAGGACTTACAGTCTTGTGGTTTGGGGCTTTGCTGTGCATTTTCCTTGTTGTCGTTTGGCAAAGAACTTTGGTGTGAGTGCAACATACAATAACTGTGACATGAATGAGTGCACACTAGGGAGGGTTGTGCTAAATCGTATATATGCAGTGTACAGGAATAATAATGTTATAGTGATTTAATACTTTCTTACCTAACCTAATACAAAAATACAATTATTGATAAATTTATAGCTTTGATAGAATTGAAAATATAAAGGTAATGTTTTTTTGGTAATTTCAGATTTTCCTGTTGATATTCTAGCTGTTGATTTTCATCCTTTTGGTTTACCATATTTTCTGGTATGTTATTTTTGTTTTTAGTTATTTTATCAAATAAATGAATCAGTTAATCAATCAGTCTATCTATCAATCAATCAATCTATTTATCAATTAAAAGTTGTATTAATCCCACAAAACTTTGACATCTAAACTTTTTTTTTCTTGAAAAATCACCTTCCCTTTGTCACATTACAAGCTCGACAAGGAAGGGCAGTCTTTCTAAAGCTAATTAAGTTTTTAAAATACAGTTCTAATATTCTTGTTTTTGAATTGGCAAATATACATCTATACTACTATTGTCATAATTTTAACAATATTATCTCCATATCGCCTTGTGATTATGACTCTTGTTTTTATTGTAGGTTGGGTGTAGAGATGGATGTATTCGAATGCATCATACAAAATCAGGTTAATTATGTTAATTTTGTATTTTTGAGCCTTCAGTGCAATCTTTTAAAAGAATTACTGTATAATTATATTTTCATAATAAATAATAGATATTTATCTAAAATAATGTATTCATATATCATACTTATTTTTATTTCTAGTATCATTATTCCCAATGGATTCCATTTATTTTAACCATTAGCAAGTGCTTCTACTATCTATTTCTGGTCTCAACCACAGTGGATTTTTCTGCTAAGCCCTGCTTCTTGCATATTTTTGCTGTCTTACAAAAAACATCAGCATAAATGTATTTAAAATTGTGATACCTATTTCTCGGCTGTCCCGAGGCGAAACAATGTAACTGACATTTTTGTCAATTTTGAGATAATATCATTTGGGAGTATATTAAACACGTCTGAATTACCTGTGAAAATTTCAGGTCTCAATAATGAGTCATTTCGGAGATAGTACCACCTATCTTTAAGCACAAAACTTAAAATCTAGTGATATTCCGTTGTAAAGTCCTACAAGATTATGCAGCAAAACAACGTATCTGCGATGAAGATATGTTGTTTTGCCACGGAATGGTATTCAAAAATTGTCTTGAGCTGATGGAGTTTGGCAATTAGGCAAAATCAAATGGTTATTGGTGTTTTTATCAGCAATGTATGAACAATCTAGGTAATGCATACGATTGCCCTAAACGCGATAAACTCCAAAAATATGTCGCACTTGCAACAATACCGAGTCTGACATGTTTCCAAGGCAAAACAACTTATCTGTAATTATTGCTAATAACTTTGCTATAAACAAACGGTTGTAATTAAAATTTTACATATAATCACAATGTCTATAGATATACAATCCTGCAAAATTTCAAAAGGCTACCACAATTTATTGCAAAGTTACAAACATGTAAATTTTAACTCAATTTTTCTCCAAAAGTGAAAATTCCTAGTTGTTTTGCCACGGAACGGCCGTTCTGGCTGGAAAGGCTGAATTTTCTCTTTACAGCCCTTGCTATATTAGTCCACAATTGTCGAAAACTCAAATATACATTAGGTAGCCATAATCGAGTGATCAGTACTTGCTTCAAATTTTTTTCTGGCAGAGTTTCCTGTGATCACATGGTTCAATTCAACCAATGGGATGGACCTTGTGTCTTTAGCATGGTCCCGTAGTCGGCCGGCAGTTTTCTTCTCAATTGACGTTACTGCAAAGATGTACATATGGGATTTACTAAAAGGCGACAGCGGCCCAGTTCGGACTGAACAGTTTACACATAAACAGTGAGAAAGACCATGTTTTATTATATTTCACACAGATATATGCTGTAATATTTAGACTCTTGCATGTTTCAGATTTTTTATCATATTTTGTTTTAATCTTAGGTTGACATGTTTATCGTTATCCAATGATCATAGAGCCACCAGGACAGCAATATCTGTACGTGAACCTGAAATGGTAAGCATTAACCTGTTGGGGAATAATCCCAAGGAATAATCCAGTCGATACCTTGGCATAAAAAAATAATGAGATAAAATCCATAGTATGACCAACCAGACATTCAACCAAATTAAAAAAAGAATCAGCTATGTTTTTACAATGTTGCAGCTGTAGCTCAGCTGGCTAAACTTGTAGCAACCACTGTGTGTGCGCTGAACCGTGGGTTTATTTCCTATCGCTGCTCTCCTTGTGTTTCTGCTGGAGGGCTGAAATGCTATTTCAATAACGCACCGTCATTTAAGCCTTTGGTCCTGTGTGCATTATGGCCAATGTGCATGTTATAGAACGCAGTACAATCATTGGAAATGAGTAAGGGGTGTTCTATTCTATTCTCTTCTGTTTAAAATTCTGTTCAATATTTTTTCATATTTTCAGGCACTTTCGAGTGGAAAAGGAACAGTGGAAATTCATCGTCTAAATGAGCAATTCACTAAAGCAGAACATGGGGAGCTAAGTCAGTGTAAAGAATTTCTTCAGACATTGATGTGAGGTATGATGTCATAGCTGGACTAGCTGCGGGGGTTGAGGGAGGGATGGAGGGAGGGAGGGAGGAAAGCAGAGGTGTCAAATATTGTCATAATTTTAGTAAAAATCACAATATATTTCTAAAAACACTTAATTGACTTGCAGTGTACCAAAAGATATAAGGTACAGTACTTTGAAATACGATAGATTGGGTTTAAAATATTTATTTTATTTTTTTTCACAACCATAACCTAGTGAGTACCAAGGTATTTTTAAACACATTTAAATACAATAAAACACATACACATCTCTAGACATTAAAGTTTTACTGTGTCTGCAACATTGCATATCTGTAATATACCCATATATGGTATGATGATGTCATATCACACCCATATATGGCACATAATAATTGATATTGTGGACATTTAAGTGATCCTTTTACAATGATAATAAAAACAGAAAGGCCAAAACTCACAACTACAAGAAATAATATGCGCCAGAACAAAACAGTTGTTAATATCAAAGGTCTAATATAATAACAAGAAAGCACACTCCGCGATTTTATGCGTAACAAATAGAAATGTCGAATTACAGTTGGTTACAGAAAAAAGATCAAAGTATTATAACAACTATGCTTTTTGATTAGAAAGCTGGTTTTGAGAGAGGGCATCCCATTTCTTACCATGGCTGTTACAGAATTCATAAAATCAAAATTTGTTTTTGTGAGTGGTGCCCTAGCAAATGAGTACTTTTACAGAATTTGCAGGCAGAAAGTAAAGAGTGCGCTATCTTGTTATAATATGTTTGGTTGTTAGGTAGATTCTTTTATATCGCTATACAGTATAGGGGCAGATTTACAGGGGAAATGTCTCCTCCCTCCCCCAAATTTTTTAAAATTGGAAAAAATAGAGAATTGTGTGCAAATTTAAGTCTGAGGGTGCCATTTCCATCCATCTAGAGGTGCCACACTCATTAAGTTTCTTACCTAGACCCTCCATATTTGAAAGTCCCTCCCTGGGCCCCCTCTATTTTGAATTCTGCCACTGAGAATAGGGGAAAACTGGTAGTACTGTATTAAATAGTATCACCTTGAATTTTTGTTGTATATTTTATTTAAATTACTGCTCAATTTCAACACTGATGTAGTAATAGGAATATAGGAATACTGTGTGCATTTATTGCTATGGTAAAGTATAATGCTGTGATGCATATATTTTACCACAATTGTTTTTTATTCCGTCCTTGTTTATGTATAAAATACTTTATGAAATTATAATAATAAATATCATGATCCTGTACAGACATAGTTTACAACAGCTATGCAGGGTTACGTTAATGACCTTTTGAATTTTGAAAACATTTTGCGTTTTTCTAAGATATGAAAAATATTATCTTTTATCATAAATTACAAGTATGTTTGTTTTTAAAATATTATTGGTATACATTGTGAGAAATATTTTAGTAGAACTCTTGTTTTGTCTTCAAAATTCGCTGAAACTCTACTGCTAGTGATATTTTGAAATAAAACTACAAGCTTACTAGCTGTAAGTGCAATGGTTGGTAAAATGTGTATGTGTATTTTTTTTGTGTATTGTGTAGTTGTCATCTATTGAGGCCTGCATCTCTTAAGCTGGGCACTCAATATGTCGTACTAATGATGGTTGGCTGACGAATCCAACTTTGCTTCATATGAGCGTTAGACGATGCGACACCGTCTGCTGTTTGTCACCAACAGTCTGAACAGACGATAACAAAGGTCAAGCAATTTTTATTTTGGCCTGATAATAATAATTACTATGTTAGGCGGCATAATTGTAATAGGAAATCTTCAGTAATAAACAATGTCTCCCTCAAACGAGAGATACAGGTTGTTTTTGTGCATTCCTCTCATTTCTTCTACATAAACAACTACTAAAAACAGTTCATTTGTGTTGTGTTGTGTGGCATTCTCCATGGAATCGCGTCGGCCGTTGAGCAATCGTGCGTACCTGCAAACTAAGTCAAACAGTAGTGCAAAAAGAGGTAAACCTGACCTAGAGAGGCCGACATGATAGGATCCATACATATATTGACGCACAAAGGCCATCTGGAATGATGAATGTCCCGAGATGAAATTGTCACCTATATGTTAATTTTGGTAACTAATTTATAGCAATACAGAAAGTTGCAATGAAAATACAATTCATTTGTAATATGACACCAGCACTGTCAGCAGTAATGTAATTAAATATACAATATAGTAGTTCTATGTACAGTATAATGTTGCCAATTTATATTTTATGATGCGATGTTAAGCCACACTTAATTATCCTACTTATAAAAGGTATTGCCTACTTTTTGTACTCTTAGTGGAATAATAAATGAAAATTGCAATTTTTTCATGCCATAGTTCTCTAAATGTCCTCTGGCGGCTCTAGGATACAATTTATGGGGGACTAAGTATTTCTAGCTGTAACTATAGCGTACAGCGTCATCTGAGGGCCGAAGTCCCAAGTCGGGAGTAAGTATAGGAAGGGGATGTTCCCTCCTCCCAAAACGAGATTTAAAAAAAAAATTGGGACTTCTGAGATGTCCTGCTTGACTGATCAGACCCAGACAAAGCAATTGCTGAGAAAGATTTGGCTTGGTGTAGCCAGGGGTGGGCATAAAAATCGGTCGGAGGGCAAAGGTCAATTTTTGATTTAACATCGAGGGCCGCACCCAAACTTGATGTTTCCAGTGAGCTTCCAAAAACCTCCGCTCCACTTCATATTCAGTTTTAATGTTATTTTTTTACAAATGATCGGTGTCGGACTGAAAAATAAGGCCTTTTCTAGTCAATGTTGCTTGGTGGGCCGCACACGTAGGATTTTAATTCATCTTTGCAGGCCGCACTTTACCCACCTGTGGCGTAGGCAGTACAGTACTGGGATGGGGAAGCTTTTGTTTATCCGCCATGCTAACCTTTAAAAAATACCTGTACAGTATTGAATTCAGCTCTTATATTTTGATAATGCAAGTTCACTGCTTTTCATTGATTCTAGGCCTAGCGAATTTAGATTTAAATTATTTCTCATTGACAAAACCTATTAGACCTACTGGTCTTCGTCTAATTCCACAATCATAATCAACATCATAAAAAGTTTCTCTATAAACAAAAGCTGTTGCAGTAAGTTTCTTACTGGAAGGTCTTCGGACTTTTGCGATTCATTCTTGATGCCAGGGACAAAAAAGAAAATGTGACAACCGAGAGCCAAAAATAAAAAACAAAATAAAACTCATAAGAAAACAGAAGTACAAATTCTCAATATATCAACTTTTATTGTTACAACGCTATCCCGCATTCTGGGCAGCGACTTCTCTGTGATTAAATAATCCATAAAAAAAGGAACGTTTCTCCATAGGTTAATTTCTTACAAGTCACATTATTGTTAAATTTCACCATATGAAAGTTTATTATATCCACTGTCACAACTATGGAAAAATCCTAAATAGCAATTAACCACTTGCTTATTATGTTGTGATTATGATGGAGGACATCCCCAAAACAAGTCATTTCCGTGGTTTAGAAGAAAATGTGGAATATACAGTACCCATCCCTGTCCAAGTCCTCCACAATTGAAAATACATCTATCTTTAAATAATTAGAAAAATAACCAACACAAGAAATTCTCATTAGAACATTGCAATAAGATGTTAACAACATATCTAACTTATTAATTAGTAACAAAACATGTATAATAGAGAAAGAAATACAGGTAATGTTTGTCAGTGACTATGGAGTAATTACATCCAACATCGAAAATACCACTGCTCTATCTACTGTACTGTAAACCTTCTAATTTTTACAATCTTGCATTTTTCATTCATTCTCCTATTGAAATTTTGAATGTATTGGGTCAATTTTGGGGTGACTAGCTCACTAACGTATCTACAACCACTGTAGGTGGGCTCTACTATCTAGCTGCAAGGATCAGAATACATACTAACCAATTACAAAGTATATATTTGCACTGAGTTTTTGTATACAGTGTACACAAAATGCATGACAACATATTTGTATGTTTCTATCAAATCACGTTAATTTGTCTTGGTTCCCACCCGATTACGGAGATTTGTCTGGAAAAACCTGATGAAATCATGAAATTTTAAGATTGTAAAAATTAATGGGTTTACGAAGTTACTACAAATTATTCAATAATAGACCGAAGTCTACCCCCTCATAAAATCTAACACAGAACTAAACTGATTGACGAATTAAAATCAGATGTTAAGAAAATCGTCAACAACTTAAATTCAACGGTAAAGTATCTCAAATTTCCCATCTTCAATGAAGGCAGTGAATCATCATATAGTGTGATGACAATCTTTTTTTAAAATAGTTTTGCAAGTGGTGAAAGTTTAGAATATCACAACCTCAAACCTGAGAATAATAATGACGCACACATTAATGACCTTTGGCCTAAAAAATGGATGCAATTGCAATAATATTTCTTTTTATATAAATTCATTCATCTGTTTTTACACATTTCAATCAACCCAATGTATGTTTTTGATATTTATCACCATCTACTACAACCTCTAATTAAAGTCATGCAGAAAGTTGCACTTAATTCTTATGGACAGATACTGTACATAGCCTTTGTCGCTCTTGTAAGCACTGCTACGCCGGACACACATGGTGTGTGGGAGGCTTAATAACAGATAAGAGGACAAGAAAATTTAACATTTCAACCAATATACTACTAATCATGTCTACTGAAGGAATAACCTTGCACTGTGCTTCCATTTTTTTTTTTTTTTACTATAATTCTTTTTCTGGGTATTCTTTTACCCACCTTAAATATACATAGCCAAAAAATACATAATTCATAGTTAAAATTACTTTCATTAACACATCACCGAAAAAATATCAGAGTAACTTGATACATAGTTAAAGAAACTATACAAATTCATTTCTTTATAATGAAATTGAATACACTAGGAAAAAACATTCCTTTTTTACAATTTATAAGAGAAATCAAATTCCTATTTTCTCTTTAATTTCTTTCTCACTTAAGACAATTTTTCTTCATAGATAGCGTGCACAGGTCTGTACATAAAACACGAAACACAGGGGAGTGCAATTCTTTCCATAAAGCCATGACAACAGTAGTAGCAAAGGTTACTGTTACAATTGCAATGCTCTAGACAGGAGCATTTTGGAATGGTTGTGTACTCACTGCGCAAGAACTACTGATCAACAATTCCGTAACATCAATTAAAATTGTACACATTACTTGCTGGTGAATCTCCATTGCTGTTATTCAAGGAATGCTTGCTTTTCTTTTTTGGATCAGCTGGAGGCATTGGTAAGCTTAGCAACGAATTGTGAGTGCTATTGATTGCGCGACGCTTGGCTGGTGAAGATGGTGTATCAATGGTAGAGCTCTCCATTGGACTATGAGACCTCTTGTGCGACTTGTGCTTATGGTGTCGCATACTCTTATCCTTTCTCTTTTCCTTATCATGCTTGCTGTCATAGTCACGCTTTGATGACTGAATCTTCTTGAGGTCAATTTTCATACTAAGTGGTGAGCTACCAGCAGATGGTGATGCTTGTTTCTCAGAAAAAGAGTTGCCAAGTTTGATCTTCAGTTTAATTCCACCTGATGTGGTCAGAACACTGGTTGGCTGATCATCTTGCACAGATGGTCCTGCTCCATTGCCATTTGCATTTTGATGTCTAACTTCCCTGCTTTCTGAGCTGTGCTCTTTAACTTCTCTATTGTGACTAGATGATCGTCTGTCTTTACTTCTGTGGCGATCCCTATCTTTATCTTTCTTTTTCTTTTGACTAGAGTGTTTATGACTCGAACGGTGCTTTTGATCAGATTGTCTGTGATCTGAAGACCTCCGATCTTGATCTCTATCACTGGAACGTTCTTTCAGAATTACAGGTTCTTCATTTTTAACACGCAATAGAACAGGATTTTCAATTTCCGTTGGATGTACAACTGACTGCTCATCTTCTGTTAGTTCACCTTCTTCTGCAGGTTCCTCCACTGCTGGCGAAACGTGTGCAGGAACACTTTTATTTAAAAACAACTCGGCAGGATGGGGTTCAAACTCAAGTTCATTTGTTGCTGGAACTAAGGCATGTTTTTCAACTTTTGACTTTCGGGAAGGATACCTTTGTTTGTCAACTTTATCCAGTACTTCAGCAGGATGGACTTCTTCAGCGATTACTTTAGACACGTCAACTTGCTTCACCTCCAAGGGCACCTTCTGTACCAATTTCTTCTTTACTGAGGGCACAGACTCAACTGGTGGTATCAACTCCTGCTTTTCCAGTATATTATTAGAAGATGCATTCATTTGAACGGAATTAGAGGTATCAGTTTCTTGAAAATCATCAAACAAATTTCCAGGAAGCAAACCAGTACCTAAGGAGAACTCCTCTAGATGTGACATGTCATGATTCATGTCATTCATGAAATCTGATGCATCTAGAATCTCTGTCGGATGCATCATATCTGACCAAGGCTCTAACACAGGATTTGAAAATGGTGGTATTTGTTGCTGTGCTGGTAGTACATGCTGCTGTACAGGTTGTTGTGTATGTTGCTTTGTTAGTTGTGAAATTTGTTGCAATGCTGGTTGTGATATTGGTTGCAATGCTGGTTGTGGTATTGGTTGTGGTGTTTGTTGCAGTACAGCTTGCTGTGCTAGCTGTGGTACAGGTTGCGGTCCTGGTTGTGGTATTTGTCGCAGTGGTGGTTGTGGTATTGGTTGCAGTATTGGTTGTGGAATTTGCTCTGGTCCTGCCTTGGGCACAGAAATACTTTGGACATCAAAATCAGATGGCTGAGATTGGGACTGCATCATATTCTTAATGCGCTTCTTTGGAGGTGCAACTGGTGTTATTGTTGGTTCGCTCTTCACTTTCTGGAAAACAGGTCTATGGAAATCCAGTTTAATTGGTGTTTCTTTTTTCACTGCTGGACTTGTCCTACTTGTCTGAGCACGCTTAACCTTTGATGGGCTTAACAAATCTGAATTTTTGTGTTTTTCTTTGTGCTGGTCCCTATTTATATGCTCTTGATTTGTTGAAAAATTTCCAATGCCAATGCTAGAAACATCCAAAGTGCTGGTTTCTTGGATGGCCGTTTTTGAAGGAAAAGGTTTCTTCACTTTGACAGGACTCTGATGAACATCTCTCCGAACTTTGACCGGGCTCGCTGGATGTTCCGATTTTGATTTCACAGAATCTTGCTGTATTTTAGTAAATTCTTTCCTCAATCTAGGGGATTCAGGTTTCACCCGAGATTGTTCTGGCTTGACCTTTGATATCCTGGACTCTTGATATTGCTCTCCAGATTTTCTCTTTTTGTCTTTAGCAATATTTTGTTGAGATATTGGTTCTTTTTTGCTGATGCCTTGCATTGACTCCTGAAGAAGAGACTGATGGTCAGGCACTCTTTCTGTGTTTACCTCACGCTTAAACCGATCTTTCATTTCTTTTGATAAGGCAGATTTAAAATCTAATTGTGTTGTCCTTGCAGGACTTGGTTTATCAACATTAGCACACTCTTCTTGTAGAGCTCCGAGAATGTCCATTTCAACTAAACTATCTGGTTTCATAAGTATATAATCTTGCTTTGTTTTCTCTTTCATTGACACTGCCTCCTTCTGTTCACTTCCTAACATTTTAATGTCAGCTACGCTATCTTGTACATTTTGCAACTTTTGCAAAAAAATCTTCCCAGATCCCTCTTGTTGCCTTTGTTCAGTTCTGTGCCTCTGTTCAGAGGTATGTAATCTAGGCTCTTCTACTGGCCTTGAGACTTTGTGATCACTAATTGGTCTCTTGTCTGGATGATAATGACGATGTCTGATGTCCTTTTTATGATCTTGTGCTCTGACATCTTTACTGCTTGGTTTTGCACTACTTTGAAGAGTTCTGTCACTATGAGTAGAGGGATGTCCTTGTTGTTTGTTAACATGGTGTGCACGTGATCTGTCATGTGTTCGGTGTGCATCCCCATGTCCTTGTGATCTATGCGCCACTTGTGGACTTGTATCAGATAATTTATCGGCAGATTCGGTAGACAGATTAGACCACTTGTGATCACCATGTTTAACATGCTCAGGAACTCTCCCAACACTACCATGACCCTCCCTTGGTTTCCCATGACCATCAAATGACTTACTGTCAGAGTGCTTAATAGGATGATCACTAATCTGCCGACCACTGACATCTTTCGGCTTTTCTAGTAACCGGTTATGATTTGTATATTTTGAGGATTGGTCATCAATTTTCTGTGACTCTCTTTGTCTTGCTTTCTCTTTTTCTCTTTTTGTTTCCTTTTCCTTCATCATTTTATATTCATTTAGTTTTAAGCTTTGTTTTGAAGACCCTACTGGAGCAGTAGTTTTATCTCCATCAGTTTGATCTCTTGTATTCTGTGACGGAACACTCTCAGTTTTGATAGGGCTCTCTTCCAGTACTGACATACTACTGCTACTACTACTTGTTGATGCATTTTCATTCACTTTATGTTTTGTATCAGTCTCAGCTTGTGCCTGTTAAAAAATGACAAAGTATCTGTAGTTTCTATTTCTTTTGTAAAATCAATTATATATCCATAAAAAAACCCTTTTATTTAGTAATGAACATCAACCATCAGAATAAGGAGTCTTAACAAACATTAGGGAGTTTTATTTTTAAAGGAATCACAAATTATTGACTTGATATTTCCTACTTCAGTTATCTTGTGTGGATGACGTTAAATCAAAATCAGCAACAGCTTCTATAAGAATTTTATACAGGTTTGTTTTTTTTTCTTTAAATGGGGACTGCTGGTAATTGTCAAATTGATGAAAATTGAAACTGATCATTAAAAACGTTAGCTTAACAAGGTCTAAAAAAATTCTCATATTATAAATATAGAAATATATAAACATACATTCATTATTAAAATGTTTTCGTACACACAACATATAAACAAATTGTTTACAAGTACAGTTAAAGTTGCCTAAGTTGACTTTGCTCAAACTCAAATAAATTCTAAGTTGATCTGACTTTACATGCTAAATTGCTGGTTTTTCATTAATTAACACCTGTAAGTCAAATTTTATCAATTTGTTAATGCCATTTTGGTTTCAACTTGGGCAAGTTCAACTGTACAGTATATATTAAAAAATAATTTTGAGATATTTACCTTAAGTGTTAGCTTCCGTTTTAATCTACTTGGACATTTCTCTATGATTTGTATGAATTCCCTTGTTATATCTGCAATGAATACAACCAATTTTTCTAAAAGTTGTTACATATTTCATATATATAACTGTTAGTATATGCCCCAAGGTAGTTGGTTTTCCACAAATTAAAACCACGGTGCCACGGTTGGAATAATTTCATCCACTAGAAGGAATCTCCACAGAGGTCTTGAAAAAATTAGCTTGTGTTTTCAAGGTTGAGTTTCTTCTCGATATCCTATATTTCAATGCAATACGATAATTTATACATTTCTCATTTTTTGCAACCCAGGTCAAACCAGTCTGTGCCCCCAAGTACAATAATTAATCAAGAAGCCACCTTCAGGCCCATCTCAAAGAATTGTAAAGATTTTTTTACAAACACTTGAAACATCCCCACTACATACATCAGGCCTAGTACAAATGACATAAAAACATTAAATTTACAATCTATTTATGAACATTACCATCCAGAAGCTGTAAGGTCATATTCCTGTCAACATACTCCCAGAAGTTCTTGCCATCACTTGACTTGGGTATCTAATATAATAAACATTCAAATAGTAAAAATTACAATAATAATCACGAATACTACTGTATCAGATTCAGAATTTTTTAAAAGGAAAGCCATAAAAAATTGTTTGGAACAAAACATGGAATTTTGAAAAAAAGTAGACTTATAATACTAATTGATTAGACTAGAAAAAAAATCTGAAAAAAATGAGTTAGGGGGAGTGGAATGTTAGAAGCAATCCACATAGCCAGATATCCTAATTATTTCCTTCTGGTCACCCTAAGCCCTGTTGACACTTGATTTTACT